ACAATGCACATAGGAATAATTTTTTTGGTATGGGGCTGTAGAATATTAATTATCTTTAATAAAGATTAGGTAATCTTTGTTATAACTAGTCAAAAAATTCATCGGTGGTAGAGATAAAAGTTTTTGATTTTTGCAGAAAACGTGAAGAATGTCTTTATCAAATGGTTATGGTAGAGAGAATGTTAAAGGCTTGCTGAAAAGAACTGTGAGGTGATGCTGACCTTAATGGGGTGGTTGGGGAAAAACGCGTAGAGCATAAGGGGAACGAACAGGGAGACAAACATTTTTGGGTTTAGGATTTGCAGCCAGTCAAGTCCAATGGCTCCAATTGAGTTGATCAGCATCATCAATGTCGTTGAACTCATAGAGGAGATGTGGAAGCCTGAGGCACATATATGTTTAAAGAGAACGACATTGGTCCCATGATCAATTTATGGTCCTTGAATGAAACGAAAGCAGCTGATACAAGGCAACCTAGTAACCCATGCAAGTTAAATTAAGAGATCATCAAAGCTTGCTTGATTATATGATTGATGCAAGTGAACATTAACTAACTCCATAATCATAATCTTCCATAGCTTAAGCAAATGCTCTTCCGAAAAAAGGCAAAGACGATTGGTAAGTGGAGAAATGGTGTCCTTGTCATCAAAACACCTTTTCAACCATCAGCTGGAATGTTTCTTATCCATTCCCGATTGAGCTGAGTGCTGCTCACGTTCTCCTTTACAAAATCAAAGTTCCCAATCATGAGAAAGATAAAAAGGGATCCAGTACCATACATACATAGGCATCTGACGATGAAATTGAATGATAAAAACAAAGTTAAAAGATATCCAAGCAAAGATCCAAAAGGAAAAGTTGCATTCGTGCACTTTGATGAGTTATTGCGTGGCAAAATATATTGAAAAAGACTGGTGTGGTTGTGGCAGCGACAACCCCTAGTTTGAAATATAGTAGTCTATAACAGCCTAAAATTCCGTAGTGGAAAGGAAGAGGAAAAGCTGAAGCCATGGCACCATGGTTCAGCATCTTGCTCTGAAACATTCTGGGAAACTGGCGTGGCCCAACAAATGACACGATCGTACGAAAAGCTCGAGGCCATGTACATTGTTTCTTTACAGGAAGATCATCATCATCATCTTCCAACTTCTAGACCCAAAACACTACATTTTCGTGGGTCCAAATTATCGGTACCCATTGCTAGTCATTTTGTGTATGAAAAGATAAGATGGAATAAAATCTAAAAACTAAGGGGCTCCATATTTGTACCCCTATATTAGCTGGTAATGTTACACCCAAATATTTGTTCTGACCCACATCAATAAAACTGAGAATATTGCATACCTCCAACCAAAGGGGAACGTGAAAAATATAGAAGGCTAGCTATTTGTATGCTTGTTGCTAATAATTGAAGCTGATCATCCCCTTGGGGATCGTGGTTGAGTTTGGAGATGGCCAAGCCCATTATCTGCAGAATTCAAGATGATGAATGAGCCCAATCTGCAATATTTTATTGCCAAGTACAATTTTTTTGTTCTTACCCTGTCAAGAGTTTTCAATTTTCCAAGTTTACTTTTGGTATCATAATGGGAGCATGATTAGGTCAGAATTTGAGCTTTACACAGTAAGGGGATAACTTTTGATCATAACAATTGCAAGAATATTCCATAGCAATGATTTTCTAAAAGAATCTATGGTTACAACATAGCTTTTTTATTTTTCTTCCACTAATTGATTAATTATTAGAACTAAACCTCACTACTTACTCCAACTTTGTTTGATAGTGATTCTTAATGATAATTACCTTAATGATAATTACTTAGTGACACTAAGTCCAACTTCCCACAATTATATATTTTATTGCTTCTCTTCAAATCAGGCATTTGATGACCTATTTTAACAGTAACCTCTCAGAAAATGAAATGCAGATGCAAGGAAAGAATCCTGGTAACTTGACCAAAGCCAACATGGAGAAACAAGAAACAAATTTAACCTTCCACCAGCAAAAAGGTAAAGAACAGAAAATGAGCTTCACAGTGAAAAAACAAAAGAAAAAGGTAGTCAATTCAGAATGACATTGAGATTTGAGACTTGGATAATACTAGCAACCAGAAACAACCAAAGAAAGTGGCAACCCACAGAAAAGAAATACAAAGAGATAGTGGTGGGATCACAATAATGTTGAAACACCTAATCAAATACACACTGTGACTTCCCTACTGTCAGCGTAGCTAGGTTTCTTTTAAGATACTATATCATATTCAGCGAACTAATCGAACATAAAAATAGGGTCATAGCAGAACAGAAGATATGAAATTGTCAAAGATAAGGAGGTGAAAGTTTGTGAATCTTTAGATTGTGACAATATTGTAAGCTATCCAACTTTATTTGGTTGAAAAAACCACTGAAATTTTATAATAAGCAGAATCTGGAAGGAAGACCCATATGAATTCGTATCAGAAACTGATTTTTCTGATTATTTAATGCTGCTTGTCATGATTAACCTTGCACTAATTTGGGAAAAATTTTTCTAAACAGCAGGGGGATTCTACTGGCACTACCAACGAGGAACGCTAAAGCAGCATGGGATATAAAATGCTAACACTGTTGCCAATGCAAAAGGTCAACAAATCCAAATTGCAAAGTCAAAAGGCAATATAATCAATTTGAGATGGAGGAAGCTATCAATTGGTGTATGAAAGCTCCATGCTAAAAGAATATATTTTCTGCTGGATAACTAGGCACTACAATGGGCAGAATCATGATTTTTACATTCCAAAGAAGCCTACAAGGCTGGCTAGGACTATACCTCCCACTTTCAAAGATCCTACTTTAGTTAAAAAATTTATATAATATGCAAAATGTTTCGCCCATAAACAGTGTGTTGAAAGTCATCATACAGAATTGAACATCAAATTCTATCTTCTCAGGTCGCGTTTCTCTCGCAAAATCATTGAACCTGGCATTCCAGTACAGTTCTCCAGTTGCATCTCATCCACTGATCCGCACTTTTCACTCTTTGAGCATGAACTTGCAAAAGTATTTGGTCCTAGGAGGGAATGCAATGCAATTAAATCGTGGTATACCTGTCAGATATCTGCTTGTGTCATAAACATTTACATGAATCTGTTATCTGGTTAGCCCTACACAAACGTAAGTTTAATCAATTTGAGGTCTCAAAGAGAGGAGAAATCTCAAATCTGACCAACCCCATATTTTATCTGATTGCTGGAATCAAGGATCTTTAGTCACCTAAGAAATCAGAAGAAGGAACTGATTTAGCATCAAAATCTGTCACTCTTCTTCCAACCTATTGCCTGCTATGGAAGTGGCTAGCTTACTTTCAACTGAACTACATGATGAATCCGAAACATTAAAGAAAACAGTAACATTCATACTAATGTCATTGAATTTTATAAAATAAAAAGTACATCCTTTTAATGCGAAATGAAAGTGTCTGTTTCCATTATGTGAAGTCCTAGTCAATGCCGATTAATTGATTGAAGAAAACAACATAACACACAATCTTACTAACGTGATTAAGGTTTACCAGTTTTCAATGTCTGCCACTGAAGCCCTGTCAATGTCAATATGAACTAGTGTATATAATTATACCATTTCAAAAAGTTCTTTAAATCATTCTGATAAAAGCTACCCACTCAATATCCTTTTATATTATTGTGCTTCTGAATGGTCAATTGATCTGCCGAAAGGCCTGTGATTGGGGCGCTCTTTCTTGATTTAGTTTCTGAATCATGCATCACACAGTTGATTGAGATTCTAGCCAAGAACCCGTGCCTTAGAAACTAATGCATTTCTTAAATCAAAATACATTACCCTTTTAAGATTATAGTAAAGAATACTCGAAAGACACCTGTTAAGATATATTATTATATGAGGATAAAAGATTAATAATATCATATTGGATCATTTAGTTTACCCGCAGAGAAGAAGTTGGTTGGCAAAAGTACTTAGTCATGAACGGCATCAGTAGAGCTTTTAATAAGCTGCCGCTTTCAGCAGAAGAGTGGTCTCATAGCTGACCGCAGCCCATCTAGGCGACCCTATGAAGTGTAGCCTTAGCCCCCTCCGCTCCCTGCAGCAAACCTCTTTAAAACGATCTGAAAAACAAATTAAATTTGGTCCTCCCCTGCCAAGAAGGGAGACCTAGTTTTACCATTTTCGATGGAACTATTGAATTGAACCTGCTGCCAAACTACTATTCCTCCAGCGTAGGTTGGTGCAACTTTCGCTCTGCAATAGCGGCAGCAAACAACATTATTTGGGTCTTTATTTCTACGCCTTCGACATGTCCCTTTCTCAATTTACTGGTATAGTATTCTTGATCTAATTAGCGGTTTTCTTGCGGCTTCCAAGATATGGTTCTTTTTGGTAGGATTTGGGTTCTCAATGTACCTCAGCCTACCCAGTTCTTCCGTTGTTTCAGAGATGATAAAAGAAGATTCTAACGCTGATGAGGTGAATTGAACTTCCCCTGGACAATGGAAATGACCAGCCAGGCAGGACCAACCTTGCCTAGCAGCTAAAATAAGGTACCATTTGATCAAACGAACCCAAGGAAACTGACAAAAATAGTCGATGCAATGGAACCTTCCATCCAAAATGTGATCAGTTCCATCCTATGAACTGATGAGACCAAGCATATGCCTTAGATAACCATCTGCGGTCCGAGCACATGCAACATAAGGATACCTGGAGAACCAGAATTGAATCTATATTCGGATCCCCTCGAGTCCCTAGAGGAATCATGGGAGTGGAAATTTGCTCAGCTTCGCGAAGAGGTGCACGTTGCCGTGGCGGTTGTCGAGAAAGTTATAGAAAATTATCATATTAGATTTTATATCACCCGGGATGCCGCTGCTCCCGAAGGTTCAAAAAGGTCACATCACAGAGTTGATGTAGCTAGCAAGAAAAGGTTACTCTTAGCTTTGAGAGAGGCATCAACTAGACAAAGCAGGAATTTTGAAAGGGAACCAGAATGCAAAATAGTAAAACAGTTAATCACAGGTCAACAGATGAAGCAGAACAACCGGATGGTTTCAAGATAAAAACACGCAGCATTCAACGGAATACAATACAACTTAAACATTACAGGTTCCTATGAGGATATTTAATATCCACAATCACTAACTTTCTTAACACTTTGGACAACCATCATAAACTCGTGACAAACATAAAGTAACACTAATTCTTCGTGCAATCAAAACAAAGATGAGATGGAATTTGCCATGATCTTTCATTCTGCGCAACGCACCCTGCAAGTTAATGCTCTCCATTATCACAGCTTCCTCCACACTCTGGAATTTTCCACTTCAAATTAGGCAGGAGGAAGTTAATGATTACATCCAAAGTCTTTCTAGTTGCTGTTCTTGGATTTCTCCATTGCTCTTGGAGCTGTAGACAGGCAGAAAACACGGTTAAGCATAGCCTAAAACTTCGTCCATCTGCTGCCATTCAAAAGGCATTTCAACTATCATGCGCTACAGTAGAAGAAACGAGTTAAGTACGATAACATAGAAAGAATGATACGTGAACTAGAAAGGACAAAGGTCCTATGCTTTCACCCTAATGATAAAAACTATTACATGAAAACACACCAAAAGAAAATCCACTCCATGGAAGATGCTTTGAAAATGAGCTCCAGATGTCAAGGCAACAAATAGGGATCTTAGCTGCAGGCATGAATATGATGATTGATAAACCTCCCATTCAAAAGACCACCCAGCTAGGGAGTATAAAACATAAGTCCAGATAACAGATTTACTCTGTACATCATCTCCATTGTAAGCCATAAGATAATTCACTTTACTACTTGACTTATACTAATCCACACCCTGCACACCCAGTTTTTCTATTTTATCTTTATTTTCTAAACATTTGACAGGACATAATTTGACTAGTGCAGACCAATCCACAATGTAAGGAGCAGTATTTCATTCACATGTGCACTTATGCAAATGCACATAAAGATACAGACAAACAAAAACTGAAAACACATACATACAACCCGCTATGAAAAGATGTACAAACAAATAATATGATCAATTTGATCCATTCTCAGAAGATAACTACACCAAAAGGTACTTACCTAATCCAATCGCATCAGAGCTCTTCATGATTTTCAACCTCTTGCATGTTTCAATAAACATCCTGCAACAAAATCAATTACATTTCAGGGTGTTAAGGTAACCTAAGTGAGAAAATCTCAATCTATCAGCAGGTATAGTTTTATCATGCAGTACTCCAACAAGCTTCAAAATAGCCTATTAAATAAAGATCAAGTTAACAGCCACCAAGCAAATCATGCATGTAGATTATATATGTGCCTCTGTGTGTGTGTGTTTGTGTAGCATGTAAATCTAGATTCTCAAGCTTGACAAACTAGCCTATAACTGACATGCAAATCTAACCCTGCATCTAGAAGATATAAGAAGAAACGAAATCAACACTTCTTTAAAAGGACAAAACATTCACAAGGACAACAAAGCAAATGTTCATAATTATTTTTATTTTTTTTCTCATTTTACCATTTTTGTGGAACGAAGTATAATGTCTCAAAAAGTCTTCTTCTCCAAACTCTTATTCAACTTTATGCTGCTTAGGTATTATAATCTTGCAATTTTTTTGCTGTCAAAACTTGGGTAATATGTCTTGAGAATTATCTCCTTTTTGGTATAGTAATCTAACTAATAAATGAAATCATGCTACTCCTGATCCTAGCATTAAAGGTGATGTCAGATAAAAATCTCCTAACTGGAAAAGTAATGGACTTACATTATTGCAATTAAAAATATATGAATAAGCCTAGTGGAATTCATAATTCTTAATTCTTACAGTATTCAACGATATATGCAGTAGTTACATACCACATTAATTGAAGTCTTTGTCAGTATGAGAAGATATGGATAGGTATAAAAACAAGTGCATGTAACCTATATCCATTAATTGTATGCCTCCCATATATAAGAAATAGGAGAGCAAAAGTGCACACTGAAAAAAGTAATGATAATAAATACAGATGTATCTAATATTTCATACTTTTGCTTTCATTTCAATCAACCTGAACTATAACTCTAATTAGAGAGATTCAGTCTATAAAAGCTACTCCAAGAACTTGTGCCCGTGTGATTTAGGACTTTGAAAAGAATGCAATTAGGAAAGAATAGATATAAAGGCAAACAGTAATTTTGAGAGACTGAAGCTTACTCCCATGGAACATCTCCAACAAGCATCCAGTCCCCATCTTTATCTTCATATGTAAGCACATATTCTGATCCATGCAAAAGATCCTTCAACTTGCTCTCACTCAAGATTTCCTTCCCAGCAGAACCATGAGACCCACATTGACCTGAAATCATTGTAAAAATGTAATCTATGCTAAATATTGGAATTTTCCTTTATTGAAGATACAGGTAAGCACATTTCTGTGCATCAAAAAGGATTCAACTTAATATTGCCACAAGGCGATGAGATCAGCAACAGCTTACCAAGGGTAAAACAGCTGAACATCTTCTCAAGAGCAGAAGACAGTTCCTGATAAGTTGAATAAGTTCTCAAATCCACCTTCCTCAGATAAGGAGCTCCATCCATGCTGACCTTGATAAAAAGAGCACCGGGACCTGGTTTTCCATCAACTTCATCATTGTTCTTTGAAGAAGTGGCCAGGGTTTTAGTCCTAAATGATCTTATTGGTGGCCAACCAACAACCTGTGCCCTGTCAAGGATGGCATATCACAACAACAATCAAAACAAAAAAAGGCACAATATAATGCTCTTTATCCCATCCAATGTCTAAGAGCCCCTTCTCAAGTAACTTATACTTACTTGGCAGCAGGTGCACTGCTGTTGTTGTTAGAAATGCCAGTTTGCTTGAGGTTTGTTCCATTTGCGGCACGAGGTCGTTCTTGTAGCACATTTGGAGGCCCATCTTTCTTTACAGATGCTTGAGCTCCAGAAGACCTTGCTGACAGCATCACATTGACCCCTGGATTACCAGGATATTTTCCGTGTCCCACAGGTTGGGGAGATTCAGAATCAGAACCAGCTCCAGGAAACATCCAAATTTTTTCAGTGTACACAGAACCTTTCACCTCTGAGAATCCATCCATGGTGTCAGAGAACCCCCTTTTGTTTCCAGAAACAACAGTTTTCTGTGATGATGAGCAGATTCCATCTTTAGAAGGAAGTAGAGGAAACAGTGGCTTCTCATCAAGTTTTCCAGAGTTCAGTAAGCAAAGCTCTGGTTCCCTCTCAGGGGACTGGGATCCAGGAAGACCAAGCCTCAGCTCTGTAGCCTTCAAATTCAGATTGTTCTTGTTATCCTCTGGCAAGCTCGAGACACCAGAGCTGTCGACTGAAGAACAATCTGATAGTCCAAGGTAATTACGCTCCTTTAATCCCAAGCCATTCTGGGAGATACAGTCATCAGAGGGAGAAGAAACATTACTGCGCCCTTCCTCCACGCCCAGAAGCGGTGGAGACATCAGAACCCAAAACTTCTCAAGACAGCCTCTTTTAGTGCATAGAAAATGAAAAAGAAACAAACCAAAAAAAAAAATCAAATTTTCTGCTCATTCCAAGAAAGCCACCTTTTAAGCCAAATTATATAAAAACACAAGATTCAATACAACTACAAATTACAACAGATCACAATCTGCTTACAAAGTTATCTAAACTAAACCGTCAAGTAGACTAGTCAATCATTATTGACGGTTCCTGAAAGAGCCATCACGCACCAGCAGTTTCTGAATCCAATAAAATCATCTGCGAAACCCACTTCAACCCATTTTTTTCAAACAACTCCACCTACCAAATTGGTTAATTCGGGTCACTTTTATAGCTAACGGTCAAAATTAACGAAAATTTTCACTTCCTAAAGCTCAAATAATGGTGTAAGCTAGCTAATCTGCATTAGACCAATCCAACGTCTTATACAAAATTACATGCCAATGAAAAACGAAGTAGATTACCAACCTCAAGAAATACCCCTTAAGCTGTGGATGATAATTACTATAGATTTACCCATGATTTACAAGAGCGGCAGTATAGCCAAAACTGAGTCAAATTTTACCAAGAAGCTTAGAAAAAATCAACACTTCTAAGTACTATTGTCCAATAGTTGCTGAGAAAGAATAGAGCTTAAAATGGAAAAAAGAGCAAAAACGGGAAGCGCATATATTTTCTTCTAGCTCGTAGCTACATGTAAGAAGAAGAAATTAAGTCAACTGAAGTCTTGTGCATTTAATCTTTTTAGGAGAGTTGAATTTTCCGTTTTTCCTTGAATAATAAGCAGAACATAAAAGAGAAAGAGAAACCGAACCAAAAAAAATAAAGAACCAGAAGCAAAAAATAAAAAAGGAATCTTTTTCTCCTTCCAGTTTCTTCTGTTTCCGGTAACTAAACAGAACAAACTGATAAAAACCCCAAACCCAAAATAAAAACTGGAGATCTTACTGCTGAAATGAAGCAGAGCTGCAAAACGAAAACAAACAAAAAAATGCAAATTTAAACAATTTTTTGTTAAAAAAAAAAGCTTACCGGAGAAAAACTTGGCGGAGGAGACAAAGAGAAGAGGATCAATTACGGCTTTCAAAAATTGCAGGTGAAAATGCACGAACTGCAGAGGAAATAAAAGCAAAGAAAGAAATAAAGAGAGAGAGAGAGAGAGAGAGAGAAAATAAGCTCCTCAAGGTCCTTCCATTAAGCAGAAAGCAACAAAAGCCATTCACCGAGAAACTCGAAGTAAAAAAAAAAAAAGGAAAAGAGAGAAACCAAAAGAAGGGCAAAAGCGAAAATAAACGCAAAAAGTTGTGCAAATATTTTAATCTCCTTGAAAAGAATGGGACCAGGTCGTTTTTATACTGCGCCGATCTAGGAGTGGGGGTGGAATCCGATCGGACGGTTGAGATCGGTACCGCGATGGGGAATCTGGACCGTTAGATTGTTGAAAAGGATCAAGAAATGAGTATCTGTCGTTATTACAGGTGGTATATTTGAGGAAAGATGGTTTCATTGGCTTCTGGTTCCGGGTTGCTGCTTTCTTACTGGTTCAGCGACTGGGTTTTTTATTGAATAGTCGAATTTGTCCTTGAATTAATTAAGTATTGTACCTTATTCTGGAGGATTAATAAATGGCAATAACGACAAATTCTTTTTTGCCCCCCACTTAAATGTGGAGTATGTTTCAAGAAGGATTAATTAACTGCTTAATAGGTGCTAATCCATGCTTGCATTAAATTTTTTCAATTTATAAATTATGTCCAACAATACTTGAGATGCCTGAATAAATGAGAAATAAAACTTTATCTTTATTTATATTTATATACTATTAAAATTATCCCTTAATAGGGTCTGGTAATAACATCTGTCCAGGGATTATATTATAATTTAAAATGATAATATTTTTAAAGGTTTCGTTTAAGTTTTTAGGACTGAAATCTAAGATAATTTAATTATAATTACATTTTTTTTATTTTGGCTATTTTCTTTCCTTTTTATGACTCAGGGTGGAGTCGGGGACTTTTGGCTGTTGGGACATTTTCCTCCAAACTCCAAGTAGAATTGATTAGGATATTCTTTGGTACAAAGACAAGAACAATCGATTAAAGAAGCATTAAAACATGTTTTAGGAAAATTTGCAGCCATCTGGGCTCAAACATGAGTTCTATTTAACGTGACATAAATGGAAATAATTTAGAATATATATGGAAATGATAATTGTGGGCTAACCCAAACCAGGATTTTTGTCTAGCCAAATCTGTCAAAACTCAACAACTCCGCTCTCATTTCTCCTTCTATTATCAGCTTTACTTACATCTTCAGTTTTATACAGGGCTCATTCCTTTCATCAAGACTTCAAAATTTTCTTCTTATTATTATTATTTGTTCTTTTTATGCTGCAGAAATTAATGGGCTTAGTTGGTTGAGATTTGCAAAACCATTTAGATACTGAATTTTGCAATGGAAGTTAAAGGATTCACTAATCAAAAAGATTTGAAAATCCAGATTAACCAAGAACTAACTCATCCCTGAAGAAGTGGGATTGCAAATGAGAGATAGGTGAACTGATAATAGGCTTTGATTATTAAAATTTTTTTTGGTTTCATGTTTTCTTGCATTTTTTTTTATAATTATTAAAAAATATAAAATGATTCAGTTTACACATAACACATACAAATGGGTTGCTTTCTCTGCTGATTGCCTTAGATAATCAAACTCCCAATTTTGTAAAAATTATATTGATATGTAAAATTTCCAAAAATTAAATCTTAATATTGAACAAATAAAATGTTAAATATTGATATAAACAAAAGTGTCAAAGGTTGAAAGAGCAATTGATTTTTCTCTCCAAAATCTAGCTTTACTTTTTCTTTTGCTTAGGCGAAGTTTGACAGGATGTATTTGTACACCGAGGGTATGGTTAAATTTCGAGTGATATTTGAGAAAATCTAAAAGATAGAAGCTTATCAAATCTTAAATTCAGATGCTCTAAAAGGAAAGCAACAATCATTAACCCAAATTCAAATTGTTACGAATTAATATATTAATAAAACAATAAACAATCAATGGTTTATAATTTCATCAACTTACTTGTTGATTAAAATAAGTTATATAAAATTTACCATAATTAGTAAGTTTGTTCGTTTTAATGGTAAGAGATCTTGAATTTGAATGGCATCAACAATTTCTGGGTGATATTAATTATAACTCATATTGCCTTTACAGGATTGATGCATAATCCTGAATTTCACGTAAGAAAAAGGAAAAGCTTATATAAAAAGTAGAAAATTTTTGTTAGTTGCAGTAAACATTGAACAGATTTTTGTCAAAAAAAAAATAATGAAAGGAAAAAGATTGGATAAATATGCATGAAAGGGTCAAAGTGGAAAAGGAAAGTAAAGAGAAAGAGGGGGGGAATCATGCAAGGATGCATTAAATGTGGGAGAGGGGGATTAGGACGAGGGGACAGAAGAAAACAGGGGGAAGAGCTGTGATTGGGGGACAAGAAAGCGGCATTTTGAAGTCGGTTTGCCGGGTGGTGACCAGGACAGCTAACCCTTTTTTTAATTTCTTTCCTCATCACTTTATTTTCTTTTCCATCATTGCCCCTTCGGTCTCTCTCTCTCTCCTTCTAATTGAATTGTTTTTTCCTTTTCTTTCCTCTGGGGGGATTAATTAGATTAAAATAAAATATATATATATATATATATATGTTTTTGGTGCGGGAAAAAAGGGTCTCCCCAGCATCATTAGCAACTGCTACTGCTCCAGCACGCCTTGGTACAAAGCCGCTCTCATGTCCCGTGCATGCCTCACCCCCCATCATCACCCTCGCATCACCTCACGTCATTCTTTGGATCGAGCGGCCGTGCTTTTGCTCCCTCGCTTTGCCGTCTCTTTTGCTTGCTAATTCAAGGATTATGTCTCCGATTTTTGCTTTCCAACGATGCTTTGCTGCGTGCCATTTCATGTTTGCTGTTTACGTGTTAGTTGCTTGCAAATTATGGTCGTTGGGCGTTTAAGAACATATACTGCCGTATGGAAATGTTGAGTGTCTCATTTTATATGCTTCATAGATTAGGAATTTAATTAAGACATTTTTTTCCCGGTTTGAACTCCAAGTCATATAAGGAGCACCCTTAATTGTGTACAATTAGATGCTGCAAAAAACAAAATGGAGTTGATGATATAAGAAGAGTTTCTTTTTTTTGGTTATGTAAATCGACATTTAGTGTAACTTTAGGGTATTCTTAATATTAAGAAAAAAAATTTATATATACTTAATTACAATAGCTTCTAATTAAATTTTTATTTTTATTTGATTCATCTCTACTAACGTTACATAATTATTGTTTATAAATCAAAATGTGTAATGACTGGACACAATACTAATTTAACCATGTATTAAGAAAACACTAAGCGCCAAGATAAATTGTTTTACCTCCAAATGTTTCGTTATTATCCGAACCACAATAAACTCAAAAATATATTATCTTAAATAGTATTTTTTATGAAAAAGAAAAAGAGAGTAATGCGATAAATTCACATGCTTCCTTTTTTTTTTTAATGAACAAACACTCCAAAGTTACTATAATACCATGCACATAAATGAACTCGTAGATTATTTCCAGTGAACATGTTTTTATTACACACAATCAATTTACTGCTCCTATAATGAATTTAATACACTTTGACTGATTTTACTATTGAACTCTAGCACTGACATGTAGCCCCAAAGAGGTGATACCAAGGCAACAAAAAAAAAAACAAGCTCTGCACTTTTCACCTTCTGGTTTCGAGATTGAGAATTCGAGTCATGACAAGTTCTGTCCATGTCTTGGGTCTGCCCTATATTTATTTTTGGCCTTATCATATTTCTTTTAGAAAAAAAATATAAATTAATATGTGTATTATAATTTCATATATAAAATCAGAAAATAAATAAATTAATCAACAAACATTAGCATATAATTAAAAGGAAATTCATATTGAAATAAATTAAACTTAGACATGACAAAAATTGAATTTAAAAATTCAAATATCTTATTTTCCTTTAACCTCCAAGTAGCAAAATACAGAAAAATGTAGTATAAAACGTAACGATGATGGGATGGTCTCGTGCGAAGAGAGATATAATGAGTATAGCGAAAGTGTCGAATGGCAAAGAGAATAGTTTTATGTTGTTGAAAAGTTAAATACTCTTTGAAGGAGAGACCTTTGCACAGCCACAGATTTTGCGGGGCTGTGCCACGACAAAGGGACCCAATGCCGGGTGATCTCCGCTTTTGCCGGTGACTTTTTCGCTTAACCCTGGTTAACCCAAAAATACTAACCATGATTAATTAAAAAATATTGGTTTTACGACTTTGATCTCGATGGTTCCAAAGCAAATTAGAACCGTCGGATTAGAGTCATGCATACGGTCAACAGATCTGCTGGCCGTGCTTTGACATAAGGAGGAAATGACACATTTTGGTTGGACTTGTGGGGGCACGTGGCCTGCAACCGACGACGATGGTCAATGGTTTTTATCAGAGAGATTCTAGGGTCCACTTTAGCACGTTTGTATCTGATGACTCACGTGTGTATGTATTCGTGTTGTTCTCAAGCTTTTGGCTGTACGATGGATATATATATATTATTATATTATTATATTATTATATATATATATGTACGTACGTAGTTTTGATCTTTGAATTATTCGGGGGTGGAAAAAAAGGGGAATATGTTTGTTGATTTTACATAAAAAAAAAGAAGAAGGAAGATATGTATGCTTCAAAGTAGAAACATTGCATAAAAAACTTTGGTGAATGGATTTTAATTAAAGAACATTAAAAATTAATTAGTGAGTTATTTAATTTCTTAGATTAAATTAAGATATATCATATTTTATAAAAATTATTGATTAGAAATTAATACTAACAAAATATTATGATCATTATAAATAAAAAATGAACAAACGTCTCCTTTTCTTAAATTTAAACTGAATAACACATTTTAGTTTAGATGGAAGAAAAAAAAACAAATAAAATATTGATGCCAATAGTTGGTTCTTTGGACTCAAAAGATTGCACTAAAACAATTTGTATTGTATACTGAATCGTTTAGAATAAACATAATGATAAGGCAAAAGAAGCTTTGTGAAAAGCATGACGTGGGGCTTTTTTGTTTTCTTGATCGGAGGTTTGGAGTTGGAACGTCAATTCCAAATGGTATAGGCCCCGCCGTCTACCGGCAAGTTGCAATGTCAATTCCCAGCATAGACATAATAATTTGGGGCCAGCCTTGTATTATATACTCATTAGAAACTTGGCCTGCCTAAGCACTTTCATGTTTCGGTCATCGCCTCCTTGATTAGTATCACATGCCACATGGATCGGGGCCCAATAAAAGCCGAAAAGGCTCTCCGACGATGTTGAATTGTTAGAAAATTAAAATGATAAGCATGTGCATGTCGCTTGGCCGCATGTTATTCTTCTCTTTAAACTCGAAACTGATTATGAGAGGATCAGTTTACAAGTTGTTTGTTAGCCAGACTTCGTTGTTTTCTTCCAAGTTGTGGCTCCCCTCCTCCCTATGGTTAGATGGGTTAAGTTGTAAACGGACCACCCAGTTTTGGTGGCCCACTTCAAGTCCTTGGCGAGCTTGGGAACTTGACAAGCCCACTTTTAATTTGGAACCTCGTCGTTAATGCCCAAGGCTTGGCGACGAAACATTGCAAAATTTTTACGATGGTAGGGATTCTGATTATAAGAAGAAGTGCAAAAACCATTTTATTTTGTAGTTGAATAAATTTATATACATAAAAACTACTTAATCTAACAGTTTTTACCATTTTTTTTAAAACTTACTCACATGTATAATAGCAGTAATAATAAAAAAACTAATATTATTTTAATATGGATATTTTTGGTTAAAATCAAATTGCTTATAATGTAACGTTGTCATTTATCTAATTTTAACCTTCCATCTCCTTTTTGATTAAATTGCAATTCAATCAATAGCTTTACGTGCTTTTACTCTTAACACGATTTGAGGCATATCTATTGTAATATGATTTAGATCTTGTAATTTTGAGGTCAAAGATTTGCCATTAATCTGATAGGGATAGTCATGGTTATTATGATAATGTAAAAGAAAGAAATCAAGATAGGTGAATGGTGTTCAATTTTATCTAAATAGTACCCAATTCTATTCTATACTAAATCTATTACTATATTCAAATCAAAGTGCATCTTCGGTTTGACACTTGGCCGCCCACTACCTTGGCAAATCATCATGATTTTCATGTTGATGAACACATTTTATTGTCAAAAAAAAAAAAAAGTCACTTTGCTTGATGTATTTTTATCCGTTTTAATGAGCTTCATTATTGAGCTCCACTTGAGCCACTAGTGAATGGGTCAATATAAACATTAAAAGCCATCAATTTTCCCTTAACATCAGTTCTGTCTGCTCATGGTTCCCATATATTAATAATCCGCCACTCGACTTAAAACACTTTCAAGTCAAATCAATTAGGAAAAAAGGCATTGGCACATCGATTTGCCATCTTAACCAAATTATGGGGGTACCACAAGGATCTTTCTTAGTACCTTGTACGATCTTATCCCATCTCTTAAACTAAGTCTACTGTAATTCCTAATATGGAGGAAGTTTATACAGAAGATGATTAATGGAGGAATGGTATATATATACATATATATATATATATATCATTGATGTGACAAACATTTAGCATAGATTTAAGTAATAGGTAGAGGTAAATGAGAATGCAGCTAGCTTATAAAAAGGGCAATTCATACTAAGTTGATAAGTGGGAGGAAGATGTGATATTTTGGCTACAAAATTGAAGCTAGAAAAAACCCGAAGCCACCATGTTTCATTGCAGTTGATATTGGCCCAAAAAACAAAAAAAAATTTAAGGGCTGAGGGAGATGTGCCAACAGCCATCCGATAGATACAAAAATTCATGTTTAGTTTTGCAGAAGGACAGAAACTGCTCCATTTTTCATGCTCTTTTCAGGCACCTGATGCTGCAAATGATGAGTATGAGATAATATTATTAATGAGAATATGATTCCCTTCGGCTAGCTTGTGCTGATTCTGGAAATAATTTTAGTATTTTTTTCTTAGGCAATTCACCATTTAAACAATATATTCTTTTAGAGTATAGTCAATTATTCTGTAATCTTTGACATGAAGGATGCTTTCAATTAATGCTGCCTGCAATGGCTTATTTGTCTTTTTCAATAAACCAGATAGTACATTCCTCTCTTGAGATGCTTGTGCTGATTTGGGTATATTTGTACCCAATTTTTTTATTGTTTTCTTTCTTTCTTTTCCTTCAAATTCCATTTCTTTTTAATCAAAGATCATTGAATCTGCCTTTTCCTTTGTGTGTTTTTTTATTTCGTACATAAGATTTTAAGTGAGCGGCCAATATGTCTCTGGATGGATTTTGGCAAACCGACACAGTTGCAACTAATTTTCATGCAGTACAATGACAAATAAGAAAAGGGTTCATTGTCAATGAACAGCTCATGATAAAAACAGAAACCATTGGCAAGGGCTAAAAGATGGAGTAAGTTACCTGATCCCTAACACAGTATCATTCATGATAAATTGTTAAAAAAACTTGGGCTGGGTTTGGTGAAGAATATTCAAGAAAAGATATATATGACACATCATTGATGAAAATTTATAATTAAATTTATATTATAAAGAGTGTTGAGCGAAAATTTTCTAGAGTGCAGCAAACTGACAAAGCTGATGGTCCCATTGGCAATAGGCAGAGATGGCTATCTACGTTTCCACCGCATTAGCAATTAAGACAGAGATAAAACTATTCCATCTATGGGAAAGTCCCAAAAGGAAAAGAAGTCGGAAAACATGGCAAATTCTTTTACTTATCCTGTATCAACGATTTTGGCCCTCCATGGTCCCCAAGTTTGAAAACTTTTTTTCCTAGGAAATGTTAAAGATAAGATCAACAGAAAGAATCAAGAAGGTGCATGTTATCCTGGCAGCACTGAATAGTGGCCATCCAGGCAGAAGCCGAGCGCTAAAGATGTCAAGAAAACCTTCTAAGGAGGCAGGGCTGTGTCGCTGTATTCTGGCAGATAAGGACTAATATTGAACAGAAAGCTATGAAAATGACTTGCAGATGGCTAGTGACCACCTTCCAGCTAGAAATTATCTGTTTCTTTTGAGTACCGAAGGACAGGACAGTATGAATTATAAGCTTGATCGAGTTAGAGACGCTGTTAACAAATCAAATTGAAACTCTTAATTCTGAGTAAATTAATCACTTGGAATTTTAGAAAAGGAGAACATTCTTTTTTTCGTGCTTTTTTTTATAAACCAGGTTGAACATTATCTTGTTTGTGCCAAACTACATTGACCACTGTACACTAAGCATTCCAAAAACTATTATCTTCCAAGAAATCTGAGTTTAACTACATATGATGCATGCAAACAAGTCAGTTTCAACAATTAAAGAAACTTGTGAAGCGGTCCACATCATGAAGAAAAACGAGGAGAAGATTTCCTTTCTGTATTTTTTTGTGGGTGGGAGGAGGGGCTCAAGTCAAAAGACAGCTGAAAATCTTTCTTTAGGGTTTCAAAGTTGAATTCTACACGACATATCGTAGCCACCAGCGTCTTGCTATCGATCGTAATTCATACGAGAATTGACCCTTCTTTTTTTTTTTAGAAGAAAAATGATTGTGCTTGACAGTATTTTATAATGGGAATCTTTCATTCTTCTAGGAAGTTTCTTGTACTAAGAGGCTTCCTGCAATTTCTTCAAGTTTCACTTTACCATAAACATGTCTTAATTCAGGCCCGTGAAGGAGAAAACCAAGCAGGGAATTGATGTTTTGACATGAACTGAAATGACCCAATTAATTGCCTTTTGCCTTTAAGAACTACAAAGGCCAAATACCCACAACAACCCTCTTCTGTAGCTGTAGGACCATGACCCCAGTCCCCTTTCATCTGACAAAAGGCTGAGCTTTATTTGTAAAGGGTGAGCTTAAAATAAACTCATTTGAAAAAAATATATCAAGTACAATCCTTTGTCTAGGCAAACTGAACTCACATGGGAAAGCAGCAAAGAATGACTTCGGTTAGAGACATGAGGGTAGTTGCAAAGGTGGAATTTTTGTAGATTTCTTCAAGTACAAACAGTTGACAAGTAATAATCCTTACAACATGATTGAATCACAAGGAACTACAGTTGATTACAAAACAGCAAGCCACCACTCACGAGCAATAGTTGGTGCCGTCCAGAGAATGGCAATTGATAAGCAGTTCTCCTTGCAAAAGCATGAAGAAGAGAAAAAGTGAAAAGGGCAAGACCGGCCATAGCTACAAACTCAAGTAGCCAGCTAATAGACTTTTTTTTTCCCGCAAATTTGGTACTTTTGCTTTCACATCTTTTCACACACACCATTCTCTTTCCTCGCTCAATTTCTTTCTTCCCCAGCAAACAAGCAACACCGACGGGGCTTTTACTGCTTTAGCTTTTAAGCTTTTTTTTTTCCCTTCTTCTTCTTCATGGGTTGCAACCAACAATTGGACCCCAACTTACTCCGTACCGTGGCCCGGACACTTAGGACATTTTAGGTGTACCTTTACACGTACACACTAACACAGCTCCCCCTTCATTTTATAAATAATACTCCCTCTCATTCCCCTCCTCAAATTGTCTTCATCCCCTCTCCCTAAAAAAAAATTCGCTTATCATCCAATGCCATAATTTTTTGCATGCTCTTCCCCGCTAGTTCTTTGCTCCTTTCACACATATGAGAAAAGGAACAACACCGCCAACTACAACAGCAGCAGCAGCGACAAGGAGTAGCAGCAGGTCATCAAGGAAGAGTATATGTGATGGAGAATCAGGATCTTTCCCACCCCACGTGGATGCGTCTCGACGTCTCTCGGGTTCCCTCTTGCACAGCTCTCCTCTTAATCATCATATTCAGCTTGAGTGGCATCTCTCCTGCTGCTACCACTGGGACAAGCTCAGGTCACTCCGCCGCTCGATCTCCGATGGCACGGGTCCCGATGCGGACATCGAAGCATCGCCCTCCAAATCGAAGCCTGAATACATGGTAAATTCTCTCTCTCTCTCTTGGAAATTAACATGAGGATTACTGCCATGTAAGAGAAAAGGTTCTTGCGCTTTGATACTCAACCTATCTTTGGTTTTTTCTTTGTATTCAGGATTTAAAGAAAAACCAAAGCCAAAGCTTGCCTGTGTTAATGCCAGGAGATCAGATCCCCAAGTTCATAGCATTGCCATGTCCGTGTGAACCTCCACGGCCATACAAGGTTGAAGTAAAAGTGCAAAAACCGCCCAAGCCGCCACGTTTTCCAGTACCTTTGTATTAGCAAGTTAGACAATTTGTTGTATATATTGGATCATTAGATTATTTTTTCTTTTTCAGCTTGGGTATTTTGGAGAAAAACAAAAAAAAAAAAAAAAACTGTGGGTGGGATATATACCATCTCTGGAATCCAGGTAGAGCAGGTCAATTTGTATAGTGTTCACTGTTACAGTTTCTTGCATGCCAAGTGTATTAGGGTTAGTGAATTTATTATGCCATTATTCCGAGATGGAAGAAGATTCCAATTGTTTCAGTTGGAAAATGAAATGGTTTAATGAAGTTCTTATCCATTACCCAAAAATTCAAAAAGACAAAAACAAAAAAAGGGAAAAAGAAAATATCCGTATGTCCTGGTTGATATGTCACTGCTCAGTTTATAGATTGTACTTGAATGTCATAATTGTTGCAAGACGCTTTCTTTTCTGGTTTTCTTTCTTTTCTTCTGCTCAATTTACAGTTTGCTACTTCGTTTTCAGCACTTACAAGAGGAAATTGGTAAAGTTGTAAGTCCATTTTTCTTGGCTAATAGAGTAACCAACTCTGCATATGCTTCCAGCTTACTACTCTCTGGAAAAGATAATTTCTTTACTTTTTCGCATTTGCCTAAATGTAGACATTCAGTGTTAGTCGGGTGGGGCCTTGTCTACTAATTTAACCAAAGCAAGAACAGCCAATGAGAAAGGGCAACCCTAGGTTTTAATGTGAAACAAGGTAAACCTTATCTGCGGAGAATCAGTGCAAGTCTCTGTCAAAAATTAGGCAAACCTATAAGATTTTACAATTTTCAATTGGTAACAAAAACTTACAAGTCAAGCACAGTTGCCATGTTAATGATGATCCGTAAGTGCATCAATTCTTTTCAAGAGAGTTGGTTGGTACGACCCAAATTTTGGTACAGCCGGATTTATGAGGAAAGCAGATGGTTTGCTCATAAATCACCGTACCATGTGGATGTGGTGTCTGCCATATCCTTGAGACCGCAGTCCATTGGAAAATGAAAAAAAAAATACAAATCCTATTTTGAGCTGAAAAGTTGCACTGTTTAAATCATTACTTTGCATTTGGCAAGAAACTAACCTTATAATCAGGCACTACCATTACTAGAAATAATGGAATTGGATTTTCAACACACACACACACACATAAAATCTAACAGCAGTCAATCACTTAGATTTTACACTTCAAGAAAAGAAGAAAAGATTCGAATTAAGAGTTCAAATTTCTTCATCATTTACACTTTTTATGATCTATATGATTAGAAGCTTGAATTGAAATCTGAGTAAGTAAATCTTAAGATTGATTTCGTATCTTATAAGTAGGACCCTAATCTATAAATGGGGTGCGTTCCAATGTATCTGAACTGGAAGAAACAGAAGACACGAAAACTGTTGAACAAACTCCCATGTATGATCATTCCCACAAGCAAAACAAGCCAAACACCTAAAACGTGGGATCGAGGGGGAGGGTTGTTAAAGAAAAATAATGAAGTGAAAAATATGAACCACGAAATGTTCACGACATGGCCCAAATCCATTTTGACGTCATTATTGGTAGAAACCACAATCACACACACGTAAATGCCCTGCAAAGACTAAGCCACCTTCAGTGCCACAAATTAAGCTTCTCTTTCTCTCTCTGTCCCTGATGACCTAATTTCACTGTTGGGAGCATTGAGTTGCTTTTGATTCTTGTCGCTCCACCTTCCCCAGTACTGCAAAAGCAGCAAAATTTTGTACTGCTTCCGTGATGATGTTTACTTCCACACATGTAGCTTTCACTTTTACTTTTTTTATTCTTTTTTCCTTCAGCAGCAAAAGCAGTGTTTGTATGTTGGGTTTTTTAATTTTTAATTTGACTATCCTTTTGATTCGAGTGGGCACTCCTTTGATGCTCAGACAAAATACAAGAATACCTCCATTTTCCGTTGGTTGCCCATGCGATAGTATCTTCCAAGTTCACCACTTTCATTTTTTCCAGACAAATAAAATTAATACAACTCTGTGATGGCACTTATTGTTTAAGACCAACACTTTGTTTTACCTCAAAATTGAAATTGATGGGTACATATTGTCATCCTCAAAACTGAATCATATGAGAGCAGCGTCACATGGTGTTCCATCATGTTTGATTGTCCTGGAGAACATATCTATCATTAAAATTTGATATTATTAATTAATATAATTTTTTGATTTTAATAATCTTAAAATGATAGGGTTAAGGGTTTATAAAATAAGAAATGATTATCATTTGAGAATTTGTAAAGAAAGAAAACCATGTACCTGGTTAATATCATGTTCCTCCTTACCAACTTCATTCATTTCAATAATGAATTGTTAATTAATCTTGAAGAATCCCAACTGCCAAATGGTGTTGTTCTCAGTAGTTTTTTCATTCGTTTCCCTTCTGTCCAAACACCTTACAAAACTACAAAAAAGGAAATGAAGAGGGATAATTTGGCCGCCATAAAAGCAGCTCGGTCCATCATGTTCCCCTAATATTCAAAGAAATTTGAGTGAAAATTAGGATTTTTAGACGTACGGATGATAAGCAACCCATGAAAGGGGACCCTTTTCTTCACCAAAATCACATGGGGACAGGCCCTTCCATGGACAATCCTTAGTGGATTTTCGGTGGTCTTATCCCAACAGTTGGTTGATGATGTAACATCGTTTTGGTTATTGTTGGTGACAAAATTTTGTTGTCCTGATCTAGGCTTGTCGTCGTTTTCCTTACTACCACATTGGTTAAAAGGATGGAAGAGAGCGAGAGAGAGAGAGAAAGAGTAATTGGTTTTCTTTTTTTGGGCTGATTTTGATGTCTTGGAAGTAAATATTAGATATGGCCAACATGATTCTCAAAGCATCAATCAACTCTTAAGTGAGAAAACACCGTGAGATAAAACAATGCCATTATTAGAGGTTTTAGCTTTTTAATGACCTTTCATGGTGGATTCAAATGCACTTTTAATTAAGAAAAAAAAAAAAAGGGAAAGCTTCAAAGTCTTCAACTAATCACTAAATTAATAAATCAATTAACTTTTATTCTCCAACACCCTTTAACTACTTTTGCAATTATCTTTATTAGAGACGGAAATCTATTAGCCCCTCACTCTATGTTGTATTTGTCACGGTCAGATAACAGTTGTAAATTCAATTTATATAGATATTTATATATCTTTGAGATAAATATCAAATTTCACCACTTAATTTCAATGACGTCCAATATTTTTTGTTACCATACATTTATTTATTTGATAAGCTTATATCTCTTCATTTCTCTGCTTTTGATTTTTTTTTCTCGAAATACAATATTGTTGAAAAAAATACATAAAAATAAACCATTTTGGGCCACATCACCAAATGAAAGAAAGGGGCGTATGATGGGAAAGATTAGGCTTTTGGCTGCAACTCTTGAAACAGATGTTGATGTAGTGGGTTACCAAAAGCACAAGACATCAATCAAACTATAGCTATACTCTACACTGAAGGGTAGTAGTTGTAGTGGAAATCCCTGTAAAAAGTTAGGTATATATATCATCAAAAGCATAAACCTAAACATCCTTCTTTGGTCTTCCTCACGCCTCTTTTGTTTCAATTTTCATGGCACACGGCGGACTAGCTAAACTAGGATTTTGGTTCACCTAAAAACCACACACAATGCTTTTCATGTCAGCCTGAAGGATGAATTAATTAATGTATTAATGACCATTAGGCACTTGATCATTTAGTTTAACATTTTTAATGTAAGGTGAGCTATTTAGGTGTCAGCCAATCACAAAACTAGGTAGAGAATTCTCTTCTTTTTGCAGCTTTTCCATCATAATATATATATATATATATATATATATTATTATGTGTTGTACGCAAACAAATAATCATTCTTTCAAGTTGCAAGGTCTTCTTCAGTAGTGGGGGTGCTTGCTTCAGCATGGATTCCTTGTAGTATCATTCCTCATGTTTTTAGCCATTCGGGCTCTTGTCTTGTCTTTGATGATAAGATTCTAACAACGCTCGAAACTTAAAACAATGGGTTCTGTTGTTTTCTTAGGGTATTTATGTAACTTATTTCATCATGATATTTTTTTTTCAGTAGGAGAAACAAAATCCAAGGGAAAATAACTAGCACATTCCATTTTGGGCCTGCCAAGATCACAAGTTTGCAATTTAGGACGTCTGAAGCCCACATCAGAATCTACAGTCTGAATTATGACCAAAATTTGAACAGCGAAAGCGTATCGATTTTCCCTCTCGAAAAACCCCCAGGCCAAACATGAGCTGAGAAAAAACAAAACAAAGGGGAAAGGAAAACCGACCAAGTGTTTGCAAAAAATGCAAACGAGAAGCTCCGTTTCCAAATCCCCGCAACCCACCGCTCTCCGCCGATCCCCGAGGCTTCTCAATCAAAAAAATCCCACAAAATATCAAGATTTGAATACCCAAAAGGCCAAATCGACGAAAAACCCCGCTTGCTCCACGGATAAAATTTCCAAGAAACTGATACAATCAAGCAGTGGTTCAACAAATTGTGTGGATTCAGCGTCTGGGTTGCGAAGATCTCCAAGATTGAACGGCGGGTCTTTGTCTGACAAGCCAGAGGAAAGCAAGTTTATCGAGACAAAGCAGGTTGGATGTAGGAAAAACAAGGGTAAGAGTAAGGGGGGATTGTTGGACGAAGAGACCAAGGAAGTGGAGAGAAAGGAAAGGGAAATTTGTGTTGGTTTGGAAGCGGTTACGGTGGAAGGGAGAGAAGTTTGTGAAAATAATGAAGATGTTGGGGTTAAAAAGATAAAGAGGAAGCGCGAGGAGGGAGGTGATGGGAATGTTCAAGGGTGGACAAGGGAGCAGGAATTGGCTTTGCAAAGAGCCTATTTTTCGGCCAAGCCAACACCTAATTTTTGGAAGAAGGTTTCGAAGATGGTAGTTTTGCCATTCCTTGATATCTGCATTTTCATTTCTGGGGTTTTCTTATATTACATAATGTTGTAGATAGATGTGCATATTTTGTGGTTATTCAAATTTAAGGATTTTTTTTGAAATGAAGTATAATAACTTTGTGATTGAGAAGCTTTCTTCTTGCTCTGTTCTCATTTGTTTCAACAAGCCTAAGTTAAAGAAGAAAAATGATGGTTTGTTTAGAAAAAAAGAGTAATAGAGCAGGACTAATTCTGACTTTGAAGTTTCTTCAACAAAACACCCTTAATGCTTATTGGCTGATAGTCTTTTTCGGTGGAATTCATCTCAACATTTTTAATTTCACTTCCCATCCACTAACGTTAGATTTATCCTGATGGTCAATGTAATGCTTACATTTGAGGTCATGTCTGCCTCCTTTTATTAAATTTAAGTGAATTCAAACATCAAGGAGGTAAAACTAGAGGTACAAGTTGTTTTATGGTGAAATTTCTTATCCATTGCTTATTTTTTAAGCTAAAACATATATCCATGATATCCAATTCCAAAATATACTAAGGGTGAAGTCTGGAGTTACAAGCTGCTTATGCATTTTTTGTGTTTCCTAGATGTTGAATATTATTTAATTATTCATG